GGAAGGAAGGAAGGAAGGAAGAAAGGAAGGAAGGAAGGAAGGAAGGAAGGAAGGAAGGAAGGAAGAAGAAAGGTGGTTGTCGGGGGCTTGGGAGAGGGGGTCACGGGGAGATGTGTAACAGGTGCAAGAGGAAGAGAGATCAGGAGATGGATGGTGGGGACAGTTTTGCAACATTGCGAATGTGCTCAATGGCGCACTGAACTGTACCCTTAAAACTGGTTAAGCTAGTAAATTTTATGTTATATGTATTTTATCACAATAAAAAAATTGGAAAAAAGAAGAGCATCAAGCAGAATAAACCCTAGATAGAAAAGCTAAGTGCCTCCCTTTTTTTTTCTATGTGAGAATTAAAGCACAATGTTGGACACCAATACTAATTGGGGGATCAGAAACAAATCTGAGTTGGGTTTATATTCTAAAATAAAAAAGCAGGCTGTCACATAGCTCCCAGGTATGGTTAATCCGAAGCCAGGGTAAACCAGATGTCCTCAAGCCCTCCAGAGTCCTGGGACCGTTCTTAAACCATCTGGGACCATTCTATGCATGCTCATGAAAAGAAAATGGTGTAAGCCTTTTATAGGTTGAACTGTATTCCCCCAAATTCATATGCTGGAGTCCTAACCCTTAGTACTTCTGAATGTGACCTTATGTGGAGACAGGGTCTTTTCAGAGGAAACTGAGTTAAAAAAAAGTCACTAGGGCCCACATCCAATATGGCTGGTGTCCTTATAGAAAGGAGACATTTGGACACAGACGCACCTAGAGGGGAGATGATGTGAAGAGACACATGAAGAAGATGGCCATCCTTATATGGCGGAGGGAAGCCTGGAACAGATGCCTCACTCACAGCTCTCAGCAGGGACCAACCCCACCAACTCCTTGATAGCAGACTTCTAGTCTCCAGAACTGAGAGACAATCACTTGGTGTTGTTTTAGCCACCCAGTCTGTAGGTCTTTGTCATGGCAGCCCTCGCAAGCTCTTACGGAGCCCCCACGCAACATTTCAGAAGGCTTACCTTCTCCTCCTCAGTGCCCCCTATAATCTGCTTCCTAAAAATCCCTCTCAGCTCCTGCGGGTGTACCCTGCTCTGGTCATACTTCCTTTTATCAAAGTGCCAGTTCAGGGGTACCGTTGAGTGAAACAGAGTATTACTGAAAGTAATTAAAGAAAGGAATTAGAACACCAATTTTGGCTATTAGAAATAAAGTAGCTATGAACACTTGTGTACAAGTTTTTGAGTGCCTTATACACAGTTTAACCTATTACTAGTATCTTGCATTAGTGGGGTATAATTGTAATAATTAATGAACCGATATTGATATATTATTGAAGTCCTTAGTTTTTACTAAAGTTCACACTTCGTGTACAGTTCTATGGATTATCTACGCATAATGTCATGTATCATACATGAGATTTTGACTGTGATTGCATTGACTTTATAGAGCACGTTGGGAAAAACTGACATCTTAGCAGTAGTGAGTCTTCTTATCCATGGAGATGGTATATCTCTCCATTTATTTAGATTTTTGATTTCTTTCATCAGCATTTTATAATTTTATTCATATAGATCTTGTATATTAAAAAATGTGTACCTAAGTATTTTAGGGTTTTTTTT